GAGTTCCTGTCTCTGCTCTCAAACTGAGGAAGCCCGAGCATCCAGATGCACATTGCCACTGTGCTAGGGAAAGAACCAGAAAATTCTGGATGCATACAGATTTAGGGGCCCCCAGGTACAGACACGCCCCCTACCGAGTATGCATTTTTTTCCAGTTAAACAAACTTCACTGTTTGTGTGGGGAGGATGTGTATGCATGCATCTGTATTCATGTGTGTGCTCACATGTGTGGAGGCCAGGAGCCAGCATTACAAGTCTCCCTCATTCATTCTCCACTTTTTTATTTATTTATTTATTTATTTATTTATTTATTTATTTATTTATTTATTTATTTATTTATTTTGAGATAGCCTTTTACTGAGCCTGGAGCTCACCAATCCTGCTACATTGTCTTGCCAAAAACCCGTAGAGATATTCCTGTCCCAGCCTCCCTAGTACTGATAGTTTAGGCAAGTGTCAATCACACCCAGCTTCTTTCACATGGATGCTGGGAATCCAGAGCCAGGTCCTCAGTCTTGCATGGCAGGCACTTCCTGACCAAGCCATCTCCCCAGCTCAATGTTTACAGTTGCTTATAAAGCAATTGTTAGAGTAGTTATTTTTTAATTAATTTGTGTGTGTGTGTGTGTGTGTGTGCATATGCACCCTCGTGTGTCATTGTACATGTGTAGAAGTCAGAGGACAACCCTTGGGAGGCAAAGTCAGGTCCTCAGGCCTGCATGGCCACTGCCTTCATCCACTGAGCCATCTCTGTAGTGGGTAGCCATTCCAGCTTGGATCTGGAAGTTCCAACCCCCAGTGAGATTCTGGCAACTGTCACGCCTACGAGGCGGGGCCAGGGGAGGCGCCTGGAGACCCGAGATCTGGATGGGCAGCGAGCGCTCTCTCTGTGCTGGGACCCTGAACGGTGGAGGTGGATGGAGCAGAGCTCCAGAGAACACCTCTGGATTGTGATACACCTTCCCCAGACTCTGCGACCTACCTTTCCCTTTTTGTAAGTTACCCACTAAATAAATCTTCCTTTTAACTAAGTGGAGTGGCCTTAATAATTTCACCAATACATCTCTGCAGCTCTTGAGTAATTATTAAATACCAACTATATTCCCAACCCCATGATAAGAGCAGTGAAACTGTTCAAGCCCGTCCAAGTTTTGAGAAGCCAAAAGCATGGAGAATGATTCATAACAGGATCCAAGTGGACCTGTGACAAATGTCTCATATTGCCAAGCCTGCTGACACAATACAAAAACCTTGTGCTTGGGACAATCGTCTTTTTCACCAGTGAAATGGCAGCGTCTATGAGACTCCACCACGAGCCAGCTGAGCTTTCCACCCAGTGCTGTGGCTCCGAAGAAATCACGGATTGTTAAAAGAGGACTTTGCAAAACCACCCAAGGCGGCAAGGGGTCTGCAAATTGCTCAGACATGTGTTTGGCTGTTCCAGGGTGGTTCTCCTGGAAAGAGGCCACACTGTTGCTTAGAAGCCAGGAGAAAGACGCATGCCAGACTGACAGTGACTAGCAAGGAATAGGATTTTAGTGTCCAGAAATGCCAGAAGAAAGGAGAAGAATGACAGTCTCACATCAGTCATTCAGTTGTTCTTGCATAAAGAAAGAAACTCGTGCCTTCCAGAACGCAGCCTTCTCGATGGAGTCTTAAACTAAGAAATAGCATTGACCTTGCATCCATCTACACCTCTCTTGGCTGCACGCTGTTGCTCGCATAATGGTACAATAGTTTCGTGGTTTGGGTCAGAGCAGACCTGGAACCAAAGCCTGAACTTTCCACTTAATAGCCAGGTTATGTACTTGTGAAAACCCTCAGTTTTTCCATCAATAAAATGGGATGGTAGTGAAATGGTTATAAAGACTAAACACTTCGATATGACATAATTCATGTAATACACTTAGGATAACAAATATCATGCTGAATATGGGCCCTATTATGTTGCTAAGAGGTCTCCAAGTGTCTGGAGAGACTGTACAGTGTGTAAAGTGCTTACCATGTAAGTGTAAAAACCTAAATTCCCTCTCCAGCAACACTGTAAAATCTGCACACAGCAGCATGTGTGTGATCCCACCACCAGGGAAGCAGAGAGGAGGATCCTGGACAGACAGTCTAGGCAATCAAGGAACTCCATGTTCAAGGAGAGACCCTGAATCAAACATAATGAGGTGTGGGTGATTAAGGAGGACACCGGAAGTCACCTTCCACCATAGTACAGATGCACACAAGTGTACATGCACCCATATGAGAGGGTCATGCTTATTTTATGATTAAAGGTGAATTCAGAAAAGCCCTGATTTGTTTGTTTGTTTGTTTGGTTGGTTGGTTGGTTGGTTGGTTGGTTGATTTCTCTATATGGTTTGGGCAGGATCTATCTTTACTTTTCTATAAGTTATTTGGCAAGATTTCTTCCTTTTCGCGCCTTTTATTTTATTTTTTATATTTTTAGACAGGGTTGTGCTATATAACCCTGGCTGGCCTTGAACTCACAGTCCTCCAGCCTCACACAACCTAAAGTGCTGAGATCACATGTGGACAACAACCATGCTTATAGATAAGAATATCCTTGACAACCACCTCATCAGATGTGGAAAACCACATGTCCTAAAACCTCCTAGTCTTGGACTCAGGCTGTGAAGTAACTCAGGCACTAAAGAAGAGCCCTTTGAGCAGCTTCAGCCTTTGGGGACAAATGGTCTCAGAGTGAATGGGGTGGTGACAGTAGACTGGCTGAGCACTTTCCCACTTCAGTACTTCTTAATACTTTATTGAGAAATAATGTAAAAATTATACTTCTGAAGTATACTAAAAATACATATTACTCAAAATGTCCTTATAAATAATTAACAATATTTATAGTTTGAAACCATGGAGATGAAAATAGTATTTCTTTTTATGTTGTTTTCTTTCGTGCGTTTGTTTTTAAATAAGCTCCTGTGTATCCCTGACAGGCACGGAACCACTGTGTAGCAAAGGATGACCTTGAACTTCTGATCCTCCTGCTTCCACTTCCTGAGTCCTAGGATCACAGGAGTGCACCACCACACCCTATGTATGCCATGCTGGAGGCTGAACCAGGACTTGAGGAATGCTAAGCATCAAACTCTCTATGATCTCTGTCAATAGCTTCTTTTAATTATTAATATGGTCGCCACCCTTTTTCATATTCTTAAGGATTTTTTTTCTCATGGATTGTCTTACATCCTTTGTTCACTTTCTTAGGACAGTTTATTTCTTACTGATCTGGAATAGCTAATTGTTTATGGATGATAAACAGTTATCTTTTTCCTGCATACAGTTTTCCAGTCATTTATTGCTTTTGTTTTTAATTTATACCAAAAGTTTACATTTTTCTTTTACCTAAAATAATTGTTTATTTTCCTTTGTAGTCACTTTCATCTCTTATTTTTATCCTTAAAAACTTGCCCTTTGCTATAAACCTAGTTAATAATGAACCTATTTTTTTCATAGCCTTGAATGTGGCTCACTGATTATTTTTACTTAGTCCTTTAGTGCATCTGGAACAGGTTTTTTTATATTAGTATTATTAGTATTATTATAAATTGATATCATCTTTTTCTAGGAATGAATGCACATTAAGTGCTCAAGTACCTTTCTTCACTCTTCAGTGGTTTCAAATTCCCTAGGGAATGATGCTGCCCATAGTGGGGAGCCTTTGCACCTCAGTTAACATAATAAAGATCCCCTGAGACATGCCTATAGGGCAACCTCATCCAGATGCTCCCTTCCCAGGCAAGTCTAGATCGTGACCAGTTGTCAATGAAAGCTAACATCACATCCATGAATCCACAAATTCATAAAGTATGAAAAGAAAACCTCTCGGGAAGAAAAAGTAGGAAGCCATCATTCTAAAATTACAGAAAACTAGTATAAAGGAGAAAGTCACAAAATCAGACACCAATAAATAATCCCAATGAAGAGAACACAAGTTAAAAATTTACTGCCTTTCAACAGCAACAATAGACATCAGCCAACAATGGAAACGTTCTCTAATGACCCTTCTGAACTTGGAGTTTTGGAGACAGGATATGGATTTTGTGAGAACTACTGAATTTTTAAGACCCGAATTCTTTGTTCTGTGAATTTGCCAAAGGGACTTCTGTAGCTGAAAGTTTCTCTGTCCTGCCTGGTCGCACCAGGTTCCGCATTCCTCCGGCCTGGCAGTCCAGCTGCCTCTTATGAAATAATCATTCAGAAGCTTATATTAATTATAACCGCTTGGCCGTTAGCTCAGGCTTATTACTGACTAGCTCTTACACTTAAATTAACCCATAATTCTTAACTTTGTTTAGCCATGTGGCTTGGTACCTTTTCTCAGTTCTGCCTTCACATCTTGCTTCCTCTGTTGTTGACTAGTGACTCTTGACTCTGCCTTCCTCTTCCCAGAATTCTCCTTATCTGCTTATCCTGCCTATACTTCCTGCCTGGCTACTGGCCAATTGGTGTTTTATTAAACCAGTGTACAAAAGCATTATCCCACTGACTTCTAAGGGTTCTGTTCCACTGTTCACAAAGGAATCCTCACTGGACACAATTTTTGTTAATATGGTACTGTTCTGTTTTATTTCATTTTGTTCTGTTTCATTTTGCCTTGTTTTGAACTAGGTGTCACTATGTAGCCAGACTGTCCTGAAACTTGCTATGTACCTCAAATTTGTGTTCGTCCTGCCTCAGACTCCTAAGCTTTTGCATTCTAATGTATATCACTGTCATCAGCTAACAACCTTGTTGAGTGGACTTCTCAATGTGTTCCTGTTTCACTCACATTGTCCTCTCTGCCAAGTTCCCTCTAGCCTGTCCTTCTTCTTTCTTAAATCCATAGAATCTACCAACGGATTACATGAGTTAGCTTCAGGATGTCCGTAAGTAGGGATAGTTGGGTTCGGCATCAACTGAATGTCATTCAAAAGGCTGATCACTGACCTGGTCAAAAACATGAGTAGAAAATGGGCGGGTGGCACCCACTCACTCACCTGCTGGAGTTTCGCTCCCACCATAGAGGCACTGATGTCAAGCACAAAAACCACATTCTTGGGTAAAGGAGGGAGGTCTTTAGGAGCAAAGTAGTGCACAAAGTAACCATTCAGAACCTGGTGGAGAAAAATAAAGCAGCCGAAGTGGCATTCAGAAAGGGAAGGAAAATGGTAGAACAGTCTTTGGAACCTCTAGAACACAAAGATGGCATGAGTCAGTCTAGGGTCACATTCCACACCAACAAAACTGTCTACAGTCTTTGATCCCTCCAAGAGAACTAGCTGCTAGTTAATATACTATTTATCATGGCTTGGGGGTAGAACTCAGTGATAAGAATGCTTGCCCAAGAATGTGCATATCTCTGGGTTCAATCTGCATCACCTTGAAAATAATATAAATGTAGACATAGTATGGATACATAGACCATGACAAACATCAACTTTAATTCTGCATCTCCTTCTGACCTTGCTTCATGAGAATCCTGCTTCCATCACTATCTATTTTTACTAATTATCTTACACAGGGAGGTATCAAGGTTGTCTGCATTCTCTGTGCACATCCACATATCTTAATATTCTTACCTTGTCTCTGCAGCAATACAACCTAAAGGGAAATAAGCTACGGAACAGTCTCTTTTAATTAAAGTTGAAGAAGTGCTAAAATTCTAACCCCATCTAAAACACCACAGGGAAAATTATATTATAGATTTCATTTGCTGTCCAGGTTACTGAAGCGCGAAATAGGTACCCTTGGCAGCCAGCAAGGGAGTATCACTGGTCTCTTTGAAGATGTATTTTGGGTTTAAACAGTTTTACTGAGAACCAAAAATATCTTTCACCTTTAGGTAAGTATTGGAATCCATAGGTGTGAATCGAACAGAAGGTATCATGCTCCACATATGGTGGCATCATGGAAGCCGTTACCTGGATGTCACCAATGCTCTGCTCTCTCTTGACATCGTATCGAATGATGAAATCTCCCAAAATTCCATTCTGGGCAATCTTAGCTTGTTGGACCACAGTCGGCTTAAAAAGAACTTGGGCAAAAGTTTCATTTTGGTTGATAACAGTAGAAGGGGGAGGACCTGTGTCGCCTGTAAATAAGATGTAAACACAATAAATAGCTGAAACTAGAAAGATCTTCCCTGAAAAGATTACCTTTTTGCATAGACAGAGGATGTCAGACTTCAATCTGTTTAAAGTTCCCCTGGTATCTTCTAAGAACTTCTGTTAATTTCTCGAGGAAGAAGGGGTTTTATCTGGGGCCATGGTTTGAGAGGATACAGACCATAAAGGAGTAGAAGCTGGTCATGTTATAACCAAGGTCAGAAAGTAGAGAGATGAATATCCTACTCAGCCCATTTTCTCCTTTTTGTTCAGTCCAGGACCCCACGCCATGGAACAGTGCCACCCATCGTTAGGGCCATCTTTTCCATCTCAATGAACCTAATCTAGATAATCCTTCACAGACACAGAGGTCTGTCTCTTGGGTGACTCTAGTCCCGTCAAGTTGACAGTATTAACCATCACAGAAAGTCAGAACTTTGTCATGTACTGATCCACCTTGTACCAGGTGTGAGTCCTTGCACAGGTTACCAAGCCATCTTTAAATACATAAATAGTAGTACCAATGTCATGCTCTTCAGAAGATCCAGTGACATGACGTACTTATCACCATGCTGGTTTGTGCTAAGCATAACACCAAGCGATGTGTTATAATATCATACTTAAGCATTTGCAAAGTAGGAGGAATTCAATATGGCATTATGGACATGTCACACTTGGGATGATACATGACTATCACAATGAAAGAATCTACTGGTGATGCTGATAGTTATGTTGAGGGAGAGCATCAGAGAGTGAGGAATATATTCTCTGTCCTTCACTGACATAGAGTTCAAAGTCAAATACAACTTGTCCAAAGGCAATTGAAGTAGGGTGAGTGCTCCTTTGGGAGGATAGGTACTAAGTTAGAAAAAATACAAAAGAACTTTTGAAGAAAAGTGTCCATCCCATGTTTGATGTACAATGCAGCAATATGGGTGTACTTAGTCTAAGTGCATTGACGTGTATGTGTGTATATAAGTCATCAATACTTACATGTAAGTTTTATGCACTTCATTCCCTTTTTTAATTTAAACATGGGAGTTGGAGAGTAGAATGAATTGAAAAGATCCTCTGAGGCATGGAACACAACAAGCATAGTTTGCCAAGCAAACCCCTCCCTGTTCTTCTCCTTGGAGTAAATGTGCTGTAGAGCCACTTCTATGGGGATTAAGGGTATCCAGAGATGGTCCAGCAGGCAGAAGCAGGGGTAAGGTTACTGAGAAGCACTTGCCATGTCATATCAGTTAAATCAAAGGAAGTTGCTCTGGTGGCACCAGCAGCTGTCACCTCTCACTTCATTGGAAGTGTCCAAGCAAACCCTGGAAGAGTCACCTGCAGTATGTAAAGCAGGCTGCAGTCTTAGAAGAGCAGCATCAGCCACACCTTGGAACTTTCTAGAAATGTCAGTTCTCAGGCTCTTCCCGGAAACCCTGAATCAGAAACTCTGGAGGGAACCTTAACAAGTCCCATAGGTGACTCTGGTTTCTGACAATGGAAAACAAGGGATATGCCCTTCACCCAGACCTCCTACCTTACATGCAGAGCCCATCATGCCCTTTGTTTATGTAAGTACACTTATCCCAACGTTCTGCAATAATCTAACAATTCTCTTTATATTATCAGCATGTACCCACTTTATCTTGCTCCAAATCTCCTCATAAAAATGCATTTATACAAGTTCCTCAACTTAATCCATTCATAACAAAGTGAAAGCCCTGGGAATTTAAAGACTATAACTTCTTTCTTCTGATTTATTTGACTAGGCTCTTTGATACAGACCACGAGAAAGGATGTGTAGTATTTTTGTTGCCTGTTGACCTCCGGTGTTTGTTCATTCATAATGAAAATTCATGAGTTTCATATAAATGCCCTTATTTCACATGGCCAAAGAGTGGGTGGATTCTGTTTGGTTCTTCACCAAGAGGCCGAATTCCTGATGCTGGCTCCCACCCACTACATGCCACACAGTAAAGGTGACCCAGCAGGGTTTCTACCACTATGGGGAACAATTCAAGAGCAGCATACTTGAAAAACTATTATCGTATAGGAGTGGTCAGGTGTACCATGGCATGCATGAGGAGGTCAGAGGACAACTTTCAGGGGTCCATTCTCTCCTTCCCTCTTGGGCTCAGGGATCAAACTCAGGTTGTCAGGCTCTCGTGGCAAGCCCTTTTATACTCTGACCTGACCCACCTGCCCACAACTCTAGAAAGTGAAAATGTTCTGGACTAAGAAGATGATATAGCATGAAGGCCTGAGTGCTGATCTCCAGCATCCATGTAGAAAGATGGACATAGTAATGAGGGCCTGTAATTCCTGTGCTGAGAGGTGGAGATGGGATTCCTGCTGTTCTCTGCTCAAGCAATCTAGTCAATCAGTGAGTTCCAGGTTCACTGAGAAATTCTGTCTTAAGCAAACAAAACAAACAAACAAAAAGGTGTTCAGCAAAAAATGAGTTGACCTCTGGCCTTCGCATACACAAACACAGGTATGCACATCTATACACACAAACACAAAAGAAAAGGGAAAATAAAATCCTCTGTTCATTAGAGGAAAGGGAAATCTGATCATTCTATTAATATAGACTTCCAGCTACGCACCTAAACCCCAAAGCAAAATAATACTATCTACTATTGACTCTTCTTAGTTCTGAACCGGGGCTCATACTGCGAACTGTCCCACAGTACTTCACAAACCCAAAGCAACTGCCATACTTGTCTAATGAGAGGTCTTGTTTCTGTTCCTTCTCTTGTCTGCCCATTTGGTTAAGGGGAAGGAGTGGACGGTGGCAGCCGCCCCAATTACGAGCACTGTATCCTGTCACTGCCATCCAGAAAATGTACTTGCAGCTCTCTGCACCCACTGACGCCTCTCAGGCTACCAGCCTTCCCATCAGGCTATCCTCACGTATAAAGCTTTGACTTCAAAAGCTAGAAACAGTGTTGCCCGTGGAAGCCATGTTAATAGCGAAGAGCGTCGGCTCTGGCGTTTCACAGACTACATGATTGGCTCAGTGTTTGAGTTCTACACCAGGGAAACTGGAGCACCACCAGCATGCATCTTTGCTGGGACTTAGTGAGATCACATGTGGAAGATGTTGATTGTGTCTCCTGGTACGTAATAGTGTCTTCAATATATAACAGTCCGTGTCTTCGTGTCTTTGTTATTTTCTAGTTACTCTGACAGAATTTGTCACTTTTCAGTTACTCTGACAGAATGGCTGACAGCAGCCGCTTAGGGCAGGGAGGCTTTATTTTGGCTCAGTGTGAGGGTACGGTCCATCCCAGGGAGGACTCTCAGCAGGAGGCGAAGCAGCTGGTCACATTGTATCACTTGCTTTCTGCTTTTCTCCTCTTGATTTTAAGAAGGCCAGCCCACTGGATGGTGCTGCTCACATTCAGGCTTGGCCTTTCTTTGGTCCTCAGGGGAACGGCTCTGGAAGCACCTACACAGACATGCCCCGAGCTGTGTCTTGGGTGACTCTAAATCCGGTCAAGGGGATAATGAAGCTTAACCATCACAGTCCTCTCTCTTTTGGAGTCACTTCCAGTACTCTGCCCATTAGAAAAGACAAATTAAAAGGAAAAAAAAAACTATCTTTGGATGACAACTAGTCTTCATCTGGAATCACATTTTACTCCACAAGATCTTGTGAAAAAAATAATTTGGAAAGGTTTTGCATGTCCTTATGTACATTATTGATCTGGAATTTAAGAGTGTCTGTACCAAGAATAATTTTTATAAAGTACACTGGATTTAACTGCTTCCAGAGAGACCCCTGAAAGGATGAGCTGAATTTTCATATGAATGCATATATACTTTTTTCTGAACTAAAGATTCACAATTTTGCTAAAGAAATTCATGTTTATAAATGCTATTACATTGTCATCTATTTGATTCTATCTTTTAAAGACAAAACCCACATTCGGTTGGTTATATAATACATTATATATTGTTTTATATATAGAGAAAGCAAGGTTCAGAGGACACAAACTTAGTCTTGGCTTTATGCTAAACCACAGACACTAGTCACAGATAGACATTCTTTTAGACAGCCACAAATGTTAGGGGAAGGATGCCAATTACTAGGTAAAGCGTCTAAAGGTGGAAATATGTAGGAGCCAACGAACCATGCTCAAGGACACTGGCTGGAAGCTACCGCCCCGAGAGCTGATGAACAGAGGGGTTTCCTGGATTCTGTTTCCTGTGGGCTTCAGGTTTGGCTACTGTCAACCCCAAAGCTGCCAATACCTTCGCCTTTTACAAAAGGATTTCCAAACAAACACTGCCTGCTTATTTCCCCTGAAAAGAGGCTAGACGGTCTGGGTTTGTTTATAGAAATTCATTACCTGGGATACTCTGTTAAATTTCGGGCAGTAAAAAATACTGGGACTTATGGAGCATCAACAGTTTGATGATCCCAAAAAAGACAAAGATCATGCAAATCAACTGAGTATTGAAATAAAAATAAAGCATAGGCAATGAGAAGAAACTGGTTACTTTTTACAAATCTCTCATTAAATAAAGTTTTCTTATTGGAAAGGATTCTTCTCACCTGTTTGATGTGATGATTACTAGTGATCGTCAGCCTCACTGGCTCTAGAGTCACCTAGGAGACACACCTCTGTGCATGTCTGTGAGGACTCATCTACAGTGAGCTAACTGATGTGAGAAGACCCATCCTGAGTGTGGGAAGCACCATTCAATGAGCTGGAGTCTTAGACTGAATGCAAAGGATGAAGTGGGCCGAGATCTGCTCTCTGCTTCTGACTGCAAACACAGTGTGATCAGCCGCCTCGCTCTCCTGTCTCCGGGACTGCCCCCCCCACACACACACACAATGACTGGAGCCCCTTGAACCAGAAGCCAGAACGAGCCCTTCATCCTTATGCTGCTTCTTCATTGGTCTGAGCAATTAGAGAAAAGTAACTAATGCAGTTGGTGTGGGTTTTTTCTTTTTGGAGAAAGCATTATGTAAGCATGGTAG